TTGCTCGTGGGGGCAGGTGGCCGCAGCCCTCAGGGAGGGCTCTCCATGGCCTGGAAGCTCTTAGCTCCAAAACCCTCCCACGAATCCAGGAGTGACTGAGGCAAACTCTACTAGAACGTGAGAAGATTGGGATGAGAGGATGTGGGGTGTCAAAGGGCTTTGGAAGGCCAGCAGGTAGAACCATATTCAGATTATAGCCCTTCAGGGTTCTGGAATGTACGGTAAGCACTGGCTCCAGAGTTTGAAATGAGTGGGCTCTAGTGGTTATCTGGTCCACCTTTGAGTCTGGTTTGTATCTCCACCCCAGCTCTGCCAGCTCCTATGTTACTCGATCCATTCCAGGTTCCAGGATTAGCTGATAGATTAACAGATCTCAAGAAGGCCCAGTTCCCTGGTGCTAGGGACAACATTGTAATCTTCTTTTATTGCTTGGGACTGAGACCTCCCTACCCCTCTGGGGCCCGGGGCCCAGGAGGTACCGTGTGACTAAAGGGAATGAACTTGATGCTGGGAGATTTGGTCTGTTTAACTTCCTGTCCATGCCACTCCTTATGGCCAGTCTCACTTGCATTTAGGCCCAATGCTCTCTCTTTAAACCAAGAACCTTGGTTTCCACTTGCTTCCTCTTTCTCTGCAGATGCCTTTACCCTCTCTAGAGAGGAGCTCTGATTAGAAAGCCATCAGGTGACTTTTCCACTAGCAAATCACCCATCTGCTGGCCTCCTTCCTCCTTCCATTACAGGTGAGGAAATGCCCTTCTCTACCTAGGGCCAGACCCTCTACCTGAGCTCTGATCCCACCCTTCCTGCCGTCTCAGAAGCCTGGGTTAGTAATTTTCCTCACTGAGCAGCCTCAACGCTCCTATGGCATTCTTTACATCATGTTTCAGACATGCTCCATTCTGTCCCACTGTAAGAAAAGCAGGGTGCACAGGGGAACAATATAGTTACCAGCTTTTTCTTTTGCCAAGTAAAGGCTCTGAGAGCTCCCTTTGCCTTGTATCACCAACATTTTGTTTTGTTTTGTTTTTTAAAGTAAAAGATGTTCAACTTCCAACATGGTAGAAAGAAGATCATTTTAGATCAGATAAGCCTGTAAATTGAATAAATATAATTAATAAAAACTTACCACCTAGTACCTATTTTTTTTTTTTAAGGTACTTACAGAGTAGAAGAAACCCAAGAAATCTACGAACCTGCATGAGATCTGTGGGGGCCCAGCAAGTTCAGCTTGACCTTGAGCCTGATAGTCGAGAATCAGGCCTTCCCTCCCCCTGGGCTGGCATTCCTCCCCATGGCAGTGGCTTAGGTCATTCTAGAACATCTGGGTTTCCACACTGACCACAGACACCTCCTGGAGAGGCAGGGCTTCCATCTGGGCCCCTAGATGTCACCAGGCCTGGTCAGAATTGTCACACACGTTCACACCCCAGTTGCCACTGAGTAACCTCTCCAAGAGGTCAGTCAGATGGTACCTTGCTATAGAAACATCACGGACACCAAGGAGACCACTCTTCTGTGGGGTGGGCCAGATACAAGGATACCCTTCCCACAAAACCGCCCACATTTCTGAAACGGCTGGGACTGGGACCCTAGAAGTCGGGGTTCAAGTTGAAGGTCTGCGTGCATGGCCTGGAGGAAGCCATTCTTCCTCTCTGGGACTTAGTTTTCATTTGCAAAATGAGTATGATAAGGCCCATCTCATGGTGTTACTGTGAAGATGACAAAGGTAATATAACGTCAGGGCCTGGAGGGGGGCTGGCACACAGTAGGAGTTTTTATTATAAAGACACCCCCCCCGCCCGAAACTGCTGTAGAGAATGTTAACCCTGTGATCTAAAGTGAACATATTTAGCACAGTCTGATGAGGCAGGTGTATTATCCCCATTTTGCACTTGAGAGACTGAGGCCCTTAGAGAGGAAATGGCTTTCCTGGTGTCTACAATGGTAGAGCCCCCCTTTGCCCCCTAGCCTCCCCACACCAAACCTCTTACTCTTTGTACCGAATGTCTCTGGAGCAGAAGGGAGAGGGGGTGGCCGACCGCCATCAGCTCTGGAGACCCCAGTCTGCGCCTGGGGGCTTCCAGGAGGGGATTCTGGAGCAGAGGTGAGCTGAGGAAGGCCTGAGATGGGACCGCAGAGGTGCCCAGACAGGAAGGAGCATGTGGAGAGGGCGGGCTGTGTCTGCCGGCCGTCTGCAGGTGGCAGGCTGCCTGAGTGCTGGGGCCTGGCCTGCTCAGCAGTCAGCCTTGCCCTAGGGTGTGGGGCTCGGGAGTTATGGCCATAAGAAGGCAGCGAGGTGGGCGTGGACGTTTCTCGCTACGGATTATGTGGGGGCATGTTATGCCAATATGGGTCTGTACAGCGGGCTCCCTGACTGCACATGAGAACAGAGCTCCTGGTGTGTAGCTCCCGGGCCCGGGGTCCAGTCCCGGCTCTCTCCCTGACTTGCTGTGAGGTTCACCCAGATCTTGGCCTGAAGGGCCCTCCGTCAGTCTGGGGCTCTGACGAGGTGGGCCGGCTTGAGCTCGGAGGCTGCCTCCAGCCTTCAAATTCTCAGACCATTGTTTCAGGACAGGCTGAGCCTCCAGGGGGCAGCTGCCAGCAAGATCTGCACATGGTTCTGGGCTTATCCTTGGACAACAGGCCTCTGAGAGCCTGACTTTACGGGTCTTGTGTCCACCAGGCCCAGATGAGACTAGGAGGGAAGGATCTGGTCAGCGTTCATTCATGTGCTCATTCTTTCCCTCATTCATTCTTTTACAAGCCCATCAAGCTTGAAACCTGTTATATGCTACTGAAACCCCAGAGTAATCACGTGGTGGGGGCCCTCCAGGAGCTCAAGGCAGGGTGGGAACCAGAGCCAGCAGCAGCCGCTGGCTCTGCTATGGGGGGAGCAGCCTGGAGGCGGCGAAGGCAGAGCTGGAGCCAGGAGCCTGGAGCTGATGGAGGCTTGGCCCGGGACAGTGGTGATGGGGATGGAAAGAGTGGATGGATGTGAGTCTTTTTGGTGGCCTGTCCACAGGGCCATCTAGGGGCCAGCTAGTTTGCAGAGATGGGGAAGAAACTGGAAATGGGCATGGTGGCTGCGTGCTGCCCGGGTGCTTGAGGGCACATTTGTGTCTCTGTGGACTTGGGTTTCAGAAGCAGGCCAGTGCCCAAGACTGCCCGCATTGCTGTGATTTTCATCTCCAAGCCCTCTGTTCCCTCACTCACAGGAAAGGGCCAGGCTCAGACCCTGGGTGGCTCTGGTCTTGGGCCGTGGGACAGCTGGGGCAGGAGGTCCTACCACTCGGGTGGGCCATGTGGAATGCTGGATCTCTAACTGGCCTCCCTCAGGGATCAGGCTCACCAGGGGCCCTTCCTATGCCTAGAGAGAAGCCACAAGGCTGGCTGGGCTCAGAATGGCTCCCCTTTTTAGTCAGCGGGGGACCATTCTGGGCAGGAGCACAACCCAGATGCCCACGGAGGGAGGACTAGAGGGCAGCTGGATGGTGACAGGGTGTGTTGGGGTGCACTTACTCCCCTCCCAATCCCCAAAGCTGTCCTGACTCATGCCAGGTCCCCAGTAGGTATCCTGCACCTAGAGGGTAGCCTTGCCCTCTCCACGGTCCTGCCCCTTCTGGCTTCTTTAGACACCCCTTAGAGGAACCCCTCTCTTCTCTGAAAACTGTTCAGTTAGCTCTTGGAATCACCAGTGGCCCCTGTGCTTTTGAATCCTTCTGTTCAGATGAGTTCACTAAGGTTGTCAGAGGGGAAGGGACCGGCCACAGGCCACAACAGGTCATGGTCATGCTCCACCGCGAGCCAGGACTGGTTCTGTCCAGTTGCAGGTGTGCCTCACAGACGCTGTCCCACAAGACTCCCCCATGCTGAGGACCACAGAGAGGGAGCACAGGCAGTCAGAGGACCCTGGCTCTCCCCTTGACGTGTACCGAGTTGAATGGTGGGGCCGGGGAGGCAGACCTCCCACAGCAGAATCAGGACCGACCCGGGTTACAGGGACGCATGGCCGGAGCGGGCAGATGCAGCGCAGGCCAGGGGCCAGGGGAGGAGGGCGGAGAGGCAGCAGCCGTGAGGGCTCACCACCTCCTCCCCCCAGACATGGTGCCGCCCCCTTCACTGTGACACAGCAGGAGGTGGTTTGCGCCCATGTAAGCAAGACAGACATCTCTATCCCGTGGCTCTGGAGCCACAGCTGACTGATAAAGGAGGCAAATGCCATCCACTGGTCCCATCATAGACATTGCTGTCATCACGGGAGACAGCCACAAGCAAGGAAGGATTGAGGGAGAGGAGGGAAGGGGAGATGGGGTCGGGAGGAGCAGCAAGCCTTGTATCTGGACCTGACTTCCCTTTGCACAGAGAGGCCAGAGTCCCCAGGAGAAGCATCAAGCTCACGGCCCATGGTGGGATGATGAAGGGTCTATTACCTGTCCTGATGCTGGCGGAGACGGTGAAGCCAGATGCCGTTCTGAGTTCTTGCTACTAGGTTATTGAAACATTACCACTAATCTTTGTACCTCTTCCACAGGATAGAGATTTTTAGTTCATCACGTAGTCATTGCTATCACTGTCCACTTATAGAAGAGGGGCTTGCGCCCTTGATGGTACTGTGCCAAGGTCACTCAACCCAGAGGGGGGCTGGACCAGGCCGTGAAGCCGGGCCATGGGGTGCTGGAGCCCGCCTCTCTCCATTGGGCCCCGTAGCGCTCCCAGGCTTGGCCCTGGCTCTGCAGGATGGGCTCTTAGCATGGCCTTTTGGGGCACGAAGGGCCCCCAGAAGCTGTCCTGGCCCTGGCAGGGTCACCCTTCTTGCCCACGGGGCCTATTACGGAAGAACCCTTGGCAAGACACAGGAGAAGTGGGCTGCATGGCTTCTCCTGCTCCATTCTGAACTTCCACACTTTCCCTCAGGAAGGAGAGGACAGGAGATAGTCTACAACATCTCCCAGCCCTTACAGACTCTGCAAATCATTCCTCCCCCACTCGGGCCCACACCTGCTCCGAAGGCGAAGAAGCAGATCTTATCTTCATTCTCCTGCAGAAGTGCCATGACCCTCTTCCCCATCCGCTCGTTCCTCTTGTAGATGAGCTCGTGGCGGAAGTAGCTGTCGATCTCCTGGGCTGTCACCTGCTCGTGCGGCGGGAGGGTGGTGTTGATGAAGCTGGGCAGCTGCAAAGGCAAGGCAGAGTTGCCTTCAGTGCTCCCGGGGCACGGCAGAGGCACACAGCCCGGCAGAGCAGGGCACTTACGTTTCTTAAATAGGCCCTGGAATGGACTATACAAATGAAGAAAGTGAGAGTGGAAAGATTCAGAGACGTGTGCAAAGTCACACAGCTGGTGAGGTGGCAGCACAAGGAGGTATGACTCCTGTGTCCCTGCCTTGGTGACCCTCCGCTTCCAGAATGCAGAGGGCCCAGGAGGCCAGATGACTCTTGGCTCCTTCAGCACCCAGCCCAGCGTGCAAGGAATTCGGGTCAGCAGGTAGGTGGGGAGGTCAGCTGAGCTGCCCGGTGTAGCAGAAAGGCCACAGGATACAGGATTGGGCTGACCTGGATTCAGGCCTGGTTCTGACACTGTGTGACTTTGGCCAAGTTACTTAACTCTTCTGAGCTCTAGTTTCTTCATGCATAAGATGGGGATTAGGTGAGATGGTGGGTGCTATCATGGGCTAGGTTTAGCTCGGCCCACCCCACAGAGATGACAGGAGAGGTCACAGCCTCCGTTTTCCCCAGTGTCTGAGCCCTGGCTGGCCACCACCATCTCTCCATCTCCAGCTCCACGAATTCCCAGGGCAGAACCAAATCCCTCCATCCCTTCTTAAAAACGTCAAATCCAGGACCACAGCTGCCTCCCATAATGATGGTTTCTTCCACAACCAGGCTTAGAACTTTCCACATTTATCAGCTCTGCACCCACTGTCCACACCCAGTTCTGTGGCCTGGGGCAAGTGTCACTGACATGTTACTGAACTAGGCAGAGAGATCTTTGAGTCTAGGGACAGAGCTCTTGTCACTCCTGGGCCCCCAGTGCCTGACAAGTGTCACTGACATGTTACTGAACTAGGCAGAGAGCTCTTTGAGTCTAGGGACAGAGCTCTTGTCACTCCTGGGCCCCCAGTGCCTGACACTGGTAGGTGCCCAGAAACATTTCTGGAACCTTGAGCATAAAGTCATGCTGTCTCTCCTCACTGTGTTGCCTCCTCCTGGATTCCTCCATTCCCAGCATTTTGTCTTCCTGTCTTGGAGGTCAGGTCCAGGTGTCCCAGCACTGTGGCCTCCAGTGGTGGGTGGGGTCTGAGAAGAAGCCATAGGGCATGGAGGAGATGAGGCATGAGTCAGAACATCCTCTCTATTTCCCCATAACCCTTCACAGTCATTCCACCTTCCAAGCTCTAGTGCATAGGATGTCTTCCATCTGGAGTCTCCTCTTCCATTTCTCTCTTCATCAACTCAGGCTAATGCACAGAACACAAGGCCTTGCTGCCCAATGGGCTAGCTAGGTGGATAGTCTGGCATGACGAGAATAAAGACCTGTAGGGATTAGCCCTCAAGGGTCATGAGGCCCGGCCACATGGCTTTTAGAGCCACTGACAAGTTGTCAACACTCCTTCTGAGGAAAATGGAGACGTCAGCAGAGGCTGAAGCTTCAAGGATTTGGACAGGGCCTGGACATCTGTCTCTTATATCTGCTGGGACATCTGTCTCTGATATCTACTGGCCAAGCACCAGGGTGCTCCCCAGAGTGGGAGGGGATGGGCTTCTCTGCCATAGGGGCCTGATTCACTGTTCTGGGAAGACAGGCCATGATACGACTGATGAAACCTAAACTTACTCAGTGCACAACCTGCACAGCTGTATGCAGCAGCCCTGCCAGTACTCAATCAGAGATTGGTACCCCATCAGAGTCGGTGCTGGGCAAATGGATAAAAGAAGGAATGGCGCTCTTCTTACCCCTTCCGCCAATAATGGAAGGGATGATTGGCAGCCTTGACAAAGCAGGCCACATTTGGACGTGATGCAGCTCCAGGAAAGGCTCCTGAATGGAGAAGGAGTTGTGGCTCAGAAGGGTTATTTCCGGAAGCATGGCCCTCTGTGTTCCTCAGGTATGGGAGAGAATGTGGGATGATGTTGTACCAGGAAATAAACATTTGTTCCATCAGTGAATGAATGCCCGAAGGAACGAGCCGAGAGGCAGTAGGTGGTGATGAAGCAGGTCCTGGCGTCAGACAGCCAGGGTGACTTGGGATGGGATCCTTCTTTCACCGCTTACCAGTTGGGTTGCCTCTCTAGAACTAGCAAGTTACTTGTGCTGTCTGAGACTCTGTGTCCAAATTGGTAACATGGGAGTAATCTATGTTGTTGTAGGAATTAAACAAGCTCAGTTTTGGAGAGTGCTTATTAGCACAGTGCAGAGCACAAAGAAAGTCTTGACTGAATGTCAGCTTTGTACAATGAGCCTGGGGATGGAGCTGGCTTCATCATTTTTCCCCCTATGATGGCAGAGGCTACAGTGAAGGGTGGCCTTGGGCAGGGGGTAGAGACAGAGATGACAAATAGAAGCCTTCAGAATCATCAGAGAGCCATGAAGGAAGCATCCTGCTTTCCTTCCCTTCTGCCAAGGGTCCCGGCAGAGGCTCTTCCTCCTCTGCTTCCTGACCATGAATGTGCATTTGTGAAAAGATGAATCTCCATTCATTCCTTAGGGAGCTAAAAACAAGGACAAGAACCAGAAAGTTCAATGTCAAAGCCATGAAGGAGTTAGGCTAGCCACTGGGGTTTCTGGGACTGCCCGGCAGCTGGCTGACATTCTCTGCATGTTTCCTGCTGATGGGCCCTGGCTCCGTGCCAAGGATGGGACTTGGGTTTGTGCCCGGGCTGGGAGGGAAACAAATTAATGATGTCATTAGACTTGTCAGGAGCCTTAAATCTCCCGTGACACGTTTAAGTGCAGGATACACCATAGAATTTTGAAAAGGACATGTCAGGTCCCTGGGGTCTCCTAGAGTCATGAGTCCGAGGTGGGAGGATGAGATAGACAGGCCAGGCAGTGCTGGGGTGGGGCCGTGGGGAGTGACTCCAGTGTAGGCTCCCCTGGCCCACAACCAGGACAGGGTCAGGTGTGGTGGTCAAGTGCTCGGGTCTACTGACGTCACTGACCTCAAGGGCCTCATCCCTTCTCTTCAGTCCATCCATCCAACAGACACCTTCCATGAACTTCCATGGGTCTAGCCGTGTGTCAGGCTAGGGGTCCCAGAGCACCCTCAGATGGGATCTGTTTCCCTGGAAGAGGCTCACCGCCCAGTGAGGGAGTCACCGTGGGATCCATGCTTTGAGAGGGGTGTGGGCGCAGGGAAGAGGCACCTCCTGGATAACCGTGTGTCCGGCTTGGTCCAGGATGATCCGGTTTCATGGCTAAGGTAGACTCCCCATGCCTGGTAATTATTCTGACCCTTAATTGTATTTGACCTTTCACTCTCCAAAGTGATGAGTGTATGGCTGCTCACCACCTAACACAGGCTGGGGGCTCAGACAGGCTTCTTTTGCATCATTCTGTGGTTGTGGGGCATCGATGGTGCAAATGACCCAGGAGCTGTGGGTGGTTAGGGCATGAACCGTTTCCAGAGGTGAGATGGTGGGGTGGGGAGGCAAAGGAGATCAAGACTGAGATGCAGCTAGCGCCTGTCCCCCACCCTGGGCCCTGCCCCCGTCCTGCCCCAGCCTCTAGAGACCACTGGATCATCCTCTGCATGGTGGCCAGCGGCATCTTTCCGACCACATCCCTCTCCCACTTGAACTACAGGGCTTCTGCCCCTCAGCAGGCATTTTCACCCCCTGTCCCCTACAATCTGCCCCCTGCTCTGCAGATGGTTCCTCAGGACCCTACACTTTCCGCCCCCACCACCCAATCAGGCAGCCAGCCCCTCCCTTCGGCCCCACCTGGTAGACTCCATTTTCAAGCCTCGCTCCAACACCACTTCCTCCCTACCTACAAGCAGTGACTGCCCCCCTACAGACTGTGTGTCCTCAGCTCCCCACAGCTTTTGGGGTCTCCTGCAACAAAGGCAGCCCCATGTCACCCGGACCCCTTTTCCATCAGCACGTGGCCCTGGATTTAGCCTGGCTACCCCAATTCTAGGCTTCTCTGTGTCTGGGGGCAGGGCTGCCTAGTCCCTCCCTTGGGGGCTAGACTCTACCTGTGTACCCAGGGGTCCAGGGGAGTGCCTCCCAGTTTGCTATGCTAACCTGAGTGACCAGTCCAACGGCACCCCCTGTCTTGCTTCAAGGACAGGCACTGCCAGGGGACCCCCAGCACAGTTCACCTGTCAGAGACAAATCAGTGGTTCTGGACACAGGCTCAAAGTAAATCTGAGCTTGCTATCTCCTGAGGTCATCCCATTCTTCCCTCTCTCAGCTCCTTGTCAGCCATGGCCGCAGCAGGGCCCTGTCCCGCCCACCCCTGCCCCCAGCCCAGCTACTTCGTGCTCAGGCCACCCCGAGTGCTAACCAGGTCCCTGCAGCCGCGGAACTCGCCAGCCTTCCTCCCGGCAAATGACACAGGGTGGGGCTCTGGCACAGGGCTCTTGGACATGCAGATCGGAATCAGAGCTCTCAGAGTCCTGAGCCTCCTCTGCAGGCTCTCTACAACCTTCCTTTCACTGTCTCCACTGCACGGAGCATGACACACACCCACCTTTGCTCTCCTGGACAGCCATTCGCTGACACTCACTCTGCGCCAGCCCCTGCACTGGGCCTTGGGACCAAGGGAAACCAGGCACACCCTTGCTTCAGGGAGCTCTGGCTCTAGAGGGTGGTGTGCGCACACAGAACCTCTCGGCCCAGTCCCCGGCTACACCTCCAGCCCAAACTCACACCCCTGCTCCTGCTCTGTCTCGCCTCTGCTGGAACATTCCTCTACCTCCTCCCCGTGGCCAAGTTAGGTTCTTCCCTGACCTCTCACCTTGCAGGCATCCTTCCTTCTTACCCAGAGTCCATCTAAACTCTTGCTCCTGCCACAGGCTCCAGGGGCGCCCTCTACCCTCCCTTGGAGCAAGGATCACACTTGGGGGCCATATGGAATGTCCCCTTCTCTCCTGCCCGCCCCACGAGGGTGGCTCTCTCTGGCTGTCCTGTCCCCCACTGCCCCATATCCCTTTTCATAGCACTGGGCCT